ACAATTTATAATACGTTTCATATGTGCGAGCCATGTGTGCAGCATATCTAAGATACATGTACTTCCGCTTTCCAGAATATGTTTTCAATACATTTTCATCAAACGTGCAACTGCAAGACCCAAACATCGTACTGGAACATCGAATGATGCAATGCCTTATATTTGCAATGGTGTTGTTGCGATTGCAAAAATAAAAATCGGAGCGGTGAGCATTCCTTGCCCTCTAGTGACAGGAGTAAAATCTGCGTTAGTCCCACATTTTAGATACAAGAACGGAACAGATAGGAATAACACAGGAGACACGACTCCAACCCCTTCAAGAGATTAAGTATGCAGGGGTTGGAGTCGTGTATGCGAAGCCCTTTCCAAGACACCCTTCAGGTAGAGATATACTGTATGTGTTTTTTCTGTTGCGGTATCTGAAAAGAAAATGTGAGCAGAGATAATCCGTTGGACCTTCTCTCCTTCCAAGTGCAACATCACGACTCGCATCGCCGGCGTCGCAGGGGCCAATCTGCGGCGAGTGTTCCTGAATAGGCGGGAACGCGAGAAAATGTCTGCCGATTACTTGGCGGGCATTTCCAGCATCCTCCTGTAAAAACACTGAACTTCTGATCTTCCAGTCACCAACAAAAACACGATTATCCAAAAATGGGAAATGCATATGGAATGTATTGAGTGGTAATTTGTGACAGAAATTTCTACCTAATATCACTGATTTTTGTGTTCTTAAAAAGTTTAGCAACAGGTTCCAAATGAAACTATTCTTGTCACTGTACTTGCCCNGCCGTGCGACAATTGCGTGTTTGCGTTTCTGCGACAGCTCTATAGGTCAAACGCTCGCAGTTATGAATTTAGGGTTTCCACAGAACCCTTCCTTATCATCCGAGGATGTTCCTTTTCAAAATGAAATTTGCAAATCGACCGCACGAAAGGGAGGGGAAGCAACTTCCACCGAAAATCGGGGATTCGCTCTCGTCTCGCCATCTCTCGGAAGATCGAGGAAACGAGATTTGCCCTTATAGTCGCAAGAGAACGGTCGCATGCCTCCGTCATGCCTCCTGCCTGCTGCCGGGGATCCAGGGATTTAAAGTGTGCTTGATGAAATAGGGGCACTTTTTTTTTTCCTTCCCCTCCGTACGTATTTGCCTCCTTCGCTCGATTCACCGATCGGGTGCCGAGGACATCCACGGGTCAAATGAGACTTCCAGGCTTTAAGCGTAGGACATTGCCCAAGAAACGCAAATTCGCTTTCGATGACGTTCAACATGCTTTCAAGGAGGCCTTTGGACATGAAATGTACCAGGATGAGAACCCTTTGGCGCTCGGTTAAGGTGCCTTTTAATCAGGAAGCATGTTGTACATGGGGGACATTCATCGAACGTTTAAGATTTTTTTTTTTCCTGAAGCATATAATTGGTATTCATCGGACAAGAGCTTGAAGCAAATGTTCACACAACCGAAGCTAGATGGCGCCAAAGTAGTCGCCATCGGGTCATTTCTTCATACAGCTGGAATTAGTCCGCAATACTTTCCACAATGCATCCGATCTTTCTCCACATGAAGCAGAACCAGGAAGAAATTTGAATCCTCGAAGTAAACCCGGTTGAAGGAACGATATCCGGCAACACTGGAGCCGTCACGCTAAGCCTAAGTTAAGTGCATCTAATTTCTTTTTTAAGATTTGAGGTGTAAGTTCTCGCCTCGGAAGAGCATAGCTGACGCAACAGAGAGAATGAGGAGGTTCAGGAGAGGGTGGACTTTCTCATTTTGGAAAACCGACTACACGAGGAAGGAAATTTAAAATAATTCTGATGAACCCACTACGATATCAGTAGAATGAAGTTTAAACTGTAGAAGCATGGGCGTGGGGGCGGGTAACACCACGCCCCTTCACCACACGGATGACTCCTCCCTTGCCCTTCGTGACCGCTTTAGGTTCCCCTACCCAACCCCCGGTTCTATTCTCGAAATTTAATTGAGGGCATTGCGGATTTTTAGTGCCTCAACTGTTGAGACACGAATTCGTTGCCGAGGTTGGAAAGACTGGGAAACGCAGCTCGAGTTGAGATCTAATTTGGTCACGCTATGGGCAAGGGAGGCGAGAAATGAATGAGATGAATTGAATTACGTAATGAAGTAATGAAACCCCCTGCAGGATCTCATGCTGAAAGAAAACCTGCAGCGTTTTCCAAATCACAAAGGCAGAGAATCGATCCTAAGAGAGCAAGGGTCGAAAAGGCTGAGCGGCTTTTATTTATTGAAGGCATCATAGGATACTTTGTTTATCGGGATGAGGGACAGCGTGGCGGGAGGATGGGGTTTGGGGGTTGGGGGGATGGGGTTGAGGGTTGGGGTTGAGGGTTGGGGGGATGGGGGATGGGGGTTAAGTGGTTATGGGAAGGGGGGGAAGAAACTGGGCAACGCTGGGGGATCTGATTCTTTCTTGTTTACTTGTACGATCCAGACTCTCGTTGTAACTTCCTCCTCGTGCTGCCCCTGCTGCCGGTGAGTCACAATCCTTCTCTGAATCTTGAAAGTGGCGTCATCGACAGGAGAGTGTAAAGAGCGACCAAACTGGCTTGAACATGTCGTGGAAAAACAAGTAAAGGGACAAGGGGGATGAGTCAGAGGGGGAACCAAGAAATCCATTGCGTATTCCTCATCGCCTCCACCCCCTCCTCGTCCCCCCCCCCCCCCACCTCGTCCCCCTCCCCTCCCCCCTCCACCTCCCCCCCTCAATCCTAAAAGCGGTGGTGGATCAAGCGGCCAATTTCGCGAGAAAAAAAAAGCACTACAAACGCAGAATCGTTCTTCCAAAAAGTGGCACCATGAAATGTCTCAGCCAGATATTTGCGTTTTGCCGCTGTGAAATTCTTTCAAGGGAGAAAAGCATACACGGAAAAAAATTCCGATTCCAATATGGGTCACGATTCTCGAAGAAGAAGAAGCTTTTTCCTCTGCACTTGAGGATCCGCCGAACAGACCTCGCCGTTGCATCTGGCTATTTCCAGAACGCGTTATGCGTCCCTCAATCAAACCATCTCGAGAAACAATGACAAGATAAACAAGAAATCCGTCTTCTTTTGCTTCAGCTATTTCCAGTCTTGCTCCTCCCGGCCGTTCCCCTCGGATGAACGGGTTTCCCGCAGCCAGCGAATCCTATCGATCCACATTTTTCCTTCCGTCTCGCACCGGAAAAAATCCTTGCAAGTTCCTCGCAACGACAAAATTCCGACTGTCTCCGAGTTAGCGCTCGAGATTCAACATTTGAAACTTTGCACACAAGTAGTTCTGGGAGCATTGATTTTTAAAAAAAATTAAATGCTTCCCCACACATCGTGTGAGGGGAAAATTATTCTTGGAAATTTCACTGTGCTATGGAGAATCTGTCCGAAAAACCAAATTTTGGAAGCATTCTACTGGTAACGTCTTTATCAACACCCATTCATCAGCTGCTGACAATATAAAAAACCAAACTTTGAGATGCTTTTTTAATTGGGCGGATAGAGGAGAAGGAAGGGAGTTCCGAGGAGATTTATCGGAGATCATCCTCGCGAAATCCCACTCGGGATTGGGCGCATTTTCCGTTGAATTGAATTCTTCTCGCTGGAAGGAAATGGTCCCTGCGGTTGCGGTTTCAGGGGTATTGGGTTCGAGTGAAACATTTCATTTGGCTTTTTTTTTACGTTGAAGGAATTGCTCTCCCTTAATTTAAGCTCCAGGTTTCGGTACTGTTATTTGTGCATGGAGTATATCGCCATGAAATTTAAATAATGCCGCTACTCGTCGTCCAGCCTTAGAAGTTCACACTGTACACGTGTTTTTCCCTCTGTGCCATCGAGGACGGGTTCTAAATGCATCACGAGGAATTCCTCTGAATATGTTACGTAGTGTCACGTATTAAATTGAGGATAGTCCCAGCAATAATACTTGACGGCGATTCTTAGGTTTTGGGGTCGCTCCAGCAAACTCAGGAAAGGAAACTCCCTTTTCGCTCTCAAAACAAAAGGAGAATTATATTCCCGTTCTCAACTTCCCTGATCGATCCCAAGGCCATGAAAACAAAACCCAAAAAGAAAAGAAAGGACGAGAAACACACAGAGAGACGCAACACAAAGAACACAGAGAACGGCCGCGAACCCACGGAAAAGTGACCCCAGTAAACATATAAACTACGAAAATGGACCAAGTCGCCAAAACCTCCCTCCGAGGCCTACCCAACACGTTACTCTCTGCCTTTTTCAGCCACACTCTCTTTCCAGTCTCTTTTTTCTCTGCCTATTTACATATCCACGCTCCCTTCCCAGTTCGGAGGTTCCGCCTTCTCTCGGGACGGGACCCCTTATTGGAAGATATTCGCTGTGTGGAGGTTCGCGATTAGGAGGTACTGGAAGACGCGTCTGGCATGAGGTATACGATGAGGATGAGTTATACTGGCGTCTTCTTGTTTGGAACTATTGGAAATTATGGACTCAGCTGTCAGGGCACTGGATCCGGAGAAAGGGTTGTCAGATTCTTCAGATGAAGTCATTTTGGGTTTTTCCAAGTTTTCCCTCAATTCTTTCCAACTCATATAACTCCCCGTACGTATACAATAATATAATACAAATGGGTCGATTTTAAAGGGCAAAGGTTGGGTTGGTGTGGAATTGGCTGTAAACCGATGAGAATGGTTTCTTTCGGCATCCTGCATCGAGTCTCTGGGTGCAACACCCTGGTCCCATGGGAACGTCTAGGGCCCCATTGCAAGAAGTTGACGTCACGGATGACTTCTGAGCCTGTTGCATGGTGGGGAAGTTAGTAATGAAGCCAAAGGATGGGCCGCGTATCTTCTATACGCTTCAGTAGCATGGCAACGGGAAACACCCGTGACAGAGTCATAGGTCCGAGTGCCTTGGGGGAGGGGAAGTCCTAGATCCGGCGTATAATAAAAAAAATTGCTCACCGAGGGTATACCCCACGCCCCACACGCACACGCATCAGTCGTTCCTGACCCACGGCAGCTTCTTCTTTCCGTTTCTGTTCTTCTTTCCGTGTTTTTGTGGATTCGCCATGAAAGCGTTCTTTTTATTTTACTTGCTGGGGTCTGACATGTTCCCCGACTGCGCCTGGGGATGACGCCCCCAAAGGATTGGCAAGGTAGGATCGAGGATTCATTGCACTATTCGCTTTCGGGAATCATCATTCCTGGTCTCATTTCACTTTGCAAATCAGTGACTGCAGCTTAAATTTAAGAAAAAGCAACTGTAACCCAGAGACTCGCTACTATTTCAAATCAATCCCTGCGTCACTCGTAATTTTTTTTTTAGCCGCTTCACTATATCAGGACGTTTCGTATTTCATTTTTTAATACCAAATAAATCCTTTTTGCTAGACCTCCGCAACCCCACTCCGTGATTCCGGCGACGACTTCAAGGCGTTTGCTGTCTCTTTTCATCGATTTCTCTCGCACTCTTTTCGTCTGTGGCTACGGGGTGAATCTTGATTTGGCCCTGCATTTTGGACGGATTTCTATATAATAATGAACCTTTCTAAAATCGTTTCACCGTGTTTTTTATAATGCGCCTGACTTAATTCACTTGAATTTTTGTACTTTTCCTTTCCTCGTGATTAAAGCTACCGTGAAAATTCTCCAGAAAAGGTGTTGCATATCTTCAAACCCGCCGAGAAGTATAAGTAGGATCAAGCGCGGGGTGTCATTGGGAATCTGTTGAATTTGGCGGAATCGTCGACCGGCTGGGGACTCCATGAAGTCGCAGTTGATGTGGGTTCTCAAAGGTACAAGTACTCGCAGTAGTCTACGATGTCATCCGGAGACATTCGTACTTCTCGTTTGATCCCACGACAGGGAAACTTAAATTCGGTGTGGACATTCCTCATTGCAGAATTGCAAAGAGAGTGGAAAAAATGCTTGGAAGTCTTCCCACTGCTTCTTTAGTTTTGCCCCCCCCCCCCCCCCCCCCCCCCACCCCTAAATCATTGATTTTAAAGGGATTCCCAAAATGAAAGGGTTTAGAAGCCGCTGGCTTAACGCATTAGCGACATCGAGCGACAAGAGTTTTCTTTCCTTCTAAGTGGAATAATATGCTTTTGTGTGTCTGGTACCGGCATAGCTGCCGAATGAATTACATTCCATCTAAATGAAACTTTGAACTAGCTTTTTAAAAAGTAGGAAGAACGAATTTTCTCCCACTTGACCCCATTCCATATCCGAAAAATGAGGTTGTTTTATGCTCCTCATTCTTTACAGGTTCATATCAACAAAAGAATCCCTCAGTGGGGGGAAGGGAATCACATGATTTGGAAAATAAGCAAATTATTTTTCATGGAAATGGAGGGCAAAGACGAACTGAGTGGTATTTCCCGGAAACAATTGGAAGTTCCCCCCCCCCCCCCCCCCCCCTCTGGGCCACACCCCAAACTCCCTTTCCGAGAAATCCAATTGTTTACGCTCTTCCATTCTCTATGTTCACCTGCACGGATGAATGCTTAATTGCTTCCTCGATCCTCACGGCCATCCCAGACGAGGTCGCTCACGCACGCAGGCGAACAGGCGAACGCACACGTTTAAGAGGCAGAAGCCATTTCCCGTCGGCCAGCTGCGATGTAAGCCATCCTGTTCATTCGGGGATGCCCGAATGAGATATCGGCATATCGATCGATAACTGCCGAGCTTCATTCTCGGCTCGGCAGTTATCGATCGGCACGACTCGGCGCGAATATGTCGCATGCGGTAAAAACAGAAGATCCAGACGCCGATACGAATGTTGCAACTGCAGTCTTGAATCTGGCATGATTTTGGCACGGTGTGCGGCAACACTGAGGGACGGTACCGGAGCAAGCATTCTAAGGCTAATTGAACGACAGCTAATTTCATTTTTTTTATGGCGAAACGGAGCATCGCAAACACAAAAAAATCCGCTTTTCGTCATCTACGAGTCAATATCTTTCTCATGGTTGAACTCTTTCCTCCTCCCAGGAGTGGCTACCCAGGGGGGGGGAAAAAAAAAACTGAATGAAATACACATCCTCCAAAATCGAGATTCAGCGTTCTCAACAAGAAAGGGGAGATGGAGCTTCAAATTTGCTAGAGCGATTTTGTGGTGAGAGGAAGAAGTATGCCAAATTTCGTTGCTGTTGATGTTCTCAGAGAGGAATACGTGGAGGTTGAATTTAGCTGCAGGAAGGGGTTGAAGAAAGGTAATTCGCGCCACCTACTGATCTGATACGGGTGCTCACGCCTACGATTCGGGCTTTCATTGAGAGGCACTCTCATCCCCTTTCGATCGCGACCCCGAGTGCATCGTCCGCAAAGTTCGTCTCCACCACTTTTTATGTAGGCTCATAGGTGGAAAATTATGATAGAATAGATAGCCGATTTCGCCCTCGGGAGTCGCTCTCCTTGTCGCTCGGGACGAGGACGGGAAGGCCGGTGAAGGGGACGAGATCCCGAAAAATTTTGGAGCTGAGAATTTTGCAGCTTTCCTGCTGAGGAAATCATTTGGGATGGAAGACTGCAAGTGTCGTAAGCGGGAACGGGTTTCGCATCCCCGCGCGAAAGTCCGCATCGAGGCGTGAACGCCTCATAAGTGAGCGGGGAAAGGCGGGGGAACGTGCAAAATGTGGAATTCATCTCCCATCTACGAGAATGGATCCGACAGCCGCAAAAGGCCGGAAAGCGCTCGAGACAGACGCCCGAGCATGATGAAAATGTAGATGTTATTCTTGCAAGATCTTTACGAAACAGTCCCATAGGATTTCCGTGGGCATGTACAGGAATGTTTAAGAATCCCAAAGAATTTTGAAACGTGAAAAACTAATATAAAATTAATGTAAGAATACTTTAAGAATCTAAGGAGAAACCAATAAGAAACCTCTAGGATCCCATACAATTCTATATAATCCTACAGAATACCCATGAGATTTTATAGATTCCTTTCGGTATCCAATAGGATTCCTATGCGACCTTTTCGTTAGGGATGCCTCCCGGCTAGCGGAATTTACTTTAAAACGTAATTAATTTCAAAGAAATAATTATAAAAACCAAATGAAATCATACGCTATCAACATTGAAGGGTCCTCCATCTCATTTGCGAAAAGAAAAGTGGAAAAACATGAGGCATTCTCCCAAGTTCGTCCCAAAATTTGCTTGATTTTCCCCACGGCAGTTTCATATAAATCAGATCGCGTGCTGATTTTATTATTGGCAATACCGTGCGCAAAATGCCTTTGAATTGCATTTTCCCACGAAGTTTGTTGGCCTCTTGCTCGGGAATGTTAATTATTTTCAATTCATTTCACGAACAGATTAACCTCAAAACAGACCCGAAAGCCATTAAGCCTAAAATAGAAAGCCGGTATCTCTCGTGCAGGGTGAAGCTACAACGCGTGCAGAGCGTGAGGAATTCCATGCGAGAGGCCGGCACGCCGATCCAGCACCAGAATGAGAAATTCATGACGGAGGAGCTCGTCGCAGTGCCGCTCTCCAATTACATGGACGTGAGGGAACGCCTCGATTTTTTTTTTTTGTTTTAGGTCGAAATATGTTTTTCCTCGAATCGTCGCTCATCCTTCCAGGCCGAGTATTACGGACCCATCAGCATCGGCACCCCACCGCAGACCTTCCTCGTCATCTTCGACACCGGCTCGTCCAACCTCTGGATCCCGTCCAAGAAATGCCCCTCGACGGAGACAGCTTGCAGTGAGGAAACCTCCTTTTTCCCCCCATTCTCGTGACACGAATTCGTGAGGGAGCGATATGGAACTTGCCAACATGATCCTTGACAGAAATGACGAATCGGTATTTCACGCTAATTGGCTTTGTTTCTAAAACAAAGATGAGCTGATAGCATGAAGGGCAACTGTGTTATTTACTGCCGAGATTCTACCACGAAACGGTAATGTTTATGGCAGAAACTCATCATTAAACGACGTGGAACGCTTAAGGAAGAGTAGAGGAAGAGTAACCCGAGTGCAAAAAAGGCTTTCACAGCGGGCACGTCGTTTTACCAGCTGCTCTGCCGAAACCTTCAGCGTCCAATGACGTCCTTTTAAGGCTTAGCTGCTCGGCGTTCTCGCGGATCGCCGTGTTCCGCTGGCAGCCAGTCCGATACTGACGCGATGGCGTCAGTATCGGACGGCAGTATGACGTGGTCGAGCCTAGCCGTCGCGTCTCCTTCGCCAGCGGCTGCTAGCGGCTGGAGAGAAAGACGCGCCCGTAGACGACATCATCCTATCTCTTCCTTTCTTTAAAATAAAAAAGATAAATGTGGTGATGTTAAGAGCTAGAAGCCGAATGGGGATGTTTATAAGCAACGGAACATAGTCTGTCCTCGATACAACCCCACTGTTATCAGTCGCTGAATTCGGCTCTATATCGAATGAGCCCCAGTATGCTTTTGGTTTCGATGCCGAAATCTATTCATGACTATTGCCTATGTGGATGTAAAGTTTATATTGCCTTCCTTAGTCTCATTTCCAAGTTTTACACTTGTCTTATACAAAACTATTCCGTGGTTCTGAGTCACTTCTATCGGTGGCAGATAATATTTAGCTGTGCTTTGTACTGGATAAGATTTGCGTCATATATTGGCAAAATATCCAGAGGATTCACGCGCAAAAAATTCATGTTTAAACTGTTGATCGTGTTGGCGGATGGCGACTGGCGATTCATCGAGGGGTAATTATATGTAATCATATGTAATTATCATGTAATTTCCCAGTCTCGGTCCATTCTAATCGCTATCAACCCCGGCAACGTATTTGGTTTTACTTGTATGACCAATGCTGAAGAAGTCTTTACCCTCCTTTTATTTCAGATGCTGTACCACGAAAATGGTACCGTATCGACAATTAATCGCGTACATAATCTAGTTTCACGGAACGACCAGGAGTTCTTAAGCATAAAAATGAGCATAATGGGCCACGCATAACGCCCTTAGGAAATAATTATGTGATTAACGGTTGACACTAGTCGAAACCAGAGGCATTCGCCCTTGGCGTTCACTTTTCGTTTCCTTTTCCGACGGAAGAAACCTCGCCTAATTCCTGCTGGGCGTTTCTACGGGATATTCAATGTTCACCAAATGCCAATATTTCTGTTATTTTAATGAATGAATTATAGGATGTTTAATCAAATAGCGTATTTTTCTTTAAAAAAAATTCCTAAAGGAACAAATGCTGAAATGTGATATATTGTACTACAGGTACAATATATCAAATCAAAGGGTATCAAAGGGCATATTCAAAGGGCATCTTGGTATTTTTCTTGCCTAGGAGCAGATGTTCCATAAGTTCCCACACGTAAAAATTCAGAAGGATTATATGATATTTTTGCAAAATGGAGATCTCATGTGATGTCAAAAGGAATATAATAAGGTTCTATTTGGATCCTATAGGATTCTTATCAGATGCTCATTATACTCCTTTGAAAATCGCCTAAGAATTTTGCTTTAAAAATCTCATAGGACCCATTAAGATTTTTTATTTATAAAGGGCGATCTATGATATAATGGAGCAGCTCTTATTCCCAAAATCTCATGTTCTCCGTATTAACGCAATCATGCAGAAGTGGACTTAATCCGTTAACCAGATCACGCCGTCCAGGAATCCAAATTGAAAACCAAAAACCAAAATGAACTCGTCAGTCATTGCCATCTGTAGCGGTTGCTGAAGTTGTCCCTGTACCGAGAATTTTCAGCGTCTCCGTGGAAGCAGCCATTACGCGGACCTCAGGGACGCATTACGTAATTTAATGAGTAATTTCATGGGGCTCTGATAATTGGCACAAACGGACTCCGCTATCGAGCAGCACCCACGCTTTCGAAACTCCTCGACGTTCACGTTGTTTCATTTCTACTGCTTGTACATTTTCTCAGGTCTTGCGCACTTCCTGTTTTCTCAAATTCCTAGATTTCGGATTTGATAGAGTTTGTCATGGAGTTTCTCTGACGAATTCAGCGCAGTCATAGTAGTAATGAAACATCTAGATGTCCCCCAAATACGAGTACGAAATTTAAACCTCTGTGTTTGTCCTTTTAGAAGTCTTTGAAAGACTACAAAATCGAGACTGTGATTTCTGGAACGACCTGCACTTGTCCTGAAAGTTTCCAATTTGCAGGGACACATCACAAGTACGATAAATCCAAGTCCAGCACATATTCAGCGGATGGAACCGAATTTGAAATCAAGTACGGATCTGGGAGTATGTCGGGATTCCTGTCTACTGACACGGTCACGGTGAGATTCCACACTTATATGGATCTTCTTTATCTTAATCCTTAAATCCTTAATCCGTTAAACCAGACAGTAATCAGGGCACAACTAAGACACACGACTCGAGACGGTCAAAAAAAGAAGAAAATAAACCGGTACTTCTTTCGGCCTTGTAAACCTTCGACGAATTGAACCTTTCGATCTATTCGTCGAAATAAGTTTTGATTCCAACCCCAAAAAATTCGACAGTTAAAGGTTTGAGGCAAAAGGGAACCACTAGGTCGCAACGGAATTCTAAAAGCAGGACGTCGCTTGGCATTACTTATTAATTTGGGACTTGAGGTGAGGCATCGCAGCTCCTCATTTGTCACCCATAAGACAGATTGGGATTGGATATATGGTTGCAAGGGGATTCTATGTTGTCTGTCGTTCGCTGACTATTCTCGGAAACCTGTTTCGAGATGAGCATTTTAATATAAGTTTTTATATGCTTATTTCTGGTTTCCAGCCTTTCTATCCTATCAATATATTAGAGGGAATAAAAGAAGGAAACATTACTTGCGCCCGTATGAAATTATCCAGACCGAATTTTCCACAAAAAGTGACTGCACTCAGCTTGAACGGTTGGCATCGGAAGTCGTTTTCGGTGAAAATTCTGGATGCCAAGAGGAGTGCGATTCCTGTTTTTGGAATCTCGGTCAAGGAACATCGCCTAATGGCGTATTCGACAAACTTGACTCTCTTTGGCTTACGTATGTTTCCAGTAATGAAAGAGCTATGTGGAAAAGGTATAATGAAATGAAATGTTTAGTGAAATCGAAGGGAATCCACGAAACGGGCTCATTAATCGAGAAAAATTGCGGATAGTTGGACTAGATTATATATATTATAGATTATATATATTCAAGGGAAATTTATGAACGTGACGAACCAATTGTATCACCAAAATTAATCCTTATGATATCAATTTGGTTTGAGCATTTTTTTTTTTCAGAATAACCTTTCGTGCAGCTTCGTGAAGTTGGCTTATTTGCAATTTACAAAGTCATCCTTTGGATCTTTTGAACCTTTTAGATCGGCGACAAAGCTGTGAATAAGCAAAAGTTTGCAGAAGCCACAAGTGAGCTAGGTTCTACTTTCGTTTCGGCAAAGTTCGATGGCATTCTTGGAATGGGATATTCTACGATATCTGTCGACAAGGTCCCAACGGTGTTTGAGAACATGGTTCGTCAACATCTTGTTGATAAGCCTGTATTCTCCTTCTACCTCAATCGGTACGTGGGATTCTGAAGGAAAGGAGAAATTTTGCGTCTCATCAAACAGATTTCTCGATTCCATTTTGTACAGTGACCCTTCCGCAGACGAAGGTGGGCAACTCATTCTCGGCGGCTCTGATCCTGATTACTACACAGGAGATTTCACTTACCTTCCTGTCACACGCAAGGGATATTGGCAGTTCAAGATGGACAAGTAAGTTCATGGCTTTTGCTTTCGCTTACTTTTTTGGCGTCGAGGACGTCGAGACCTTGTATTGCTTTGCGGACAGAGTCAAGGTGGGTGATCACACTGTATACTGCTCTGGGGGGTGCCAGGCCATCGCTGACACCGGCACATCTCTCATCACTGGCCCCACGAGCGAAATTGCTTCTTTCGCCAAGAAGATCGGTGCACGGAAGGACAGCGGAGGAGACTACATTGTGAGTATGGGGGAACATCCCGATATTATTCTCTATCGGAACAAGCGAGGTTTAAAGCGACCTCTCATTTTCTTTCTCAGATTTCGTGCTCTTCGGTTTCTGATCTCCCTTCCATCAACTTTGTTCTTCATGGAAAGGACTTCACTTTGGAGGGAAGCGACTACGTCCTCGAAGTATGTGGTGTCATTTGCGTTTCGACTACCCTTTCCCAGTGTGCGATCATTTCCCCTGGTGATTCAAACCACAACTGAAATGGTCTTTAAAACTCTACTTACAGGTTTCACAGCTCGGACGTTCCACCTGCATGCTGGGTTTTTCTGGACTCGACGTCCCTCCACCGAATGGTCCGATGTGGATCCTTGGTGACGTCTTTATCGGAAAGTTCTACACGGAATTCGACATGGGTAACAATCGCGTTGGCTTCGCCGAGGCTGTTCAGAACTGATAACGCTTTCATTGGCATTACTTGATGTTCTGTTACGACAAAATATAATGAGGTTTTGATCTTGCTTCCAATGTGTTTCCGTGACTTTTTATTTATACTTAAACATATCTCGATGCCAGGTACTTCGAAGCATTTCCAATTGAAAAACGGGAGTAAATGCATACATTTACTCCTTAGAAAGAAGGCCAAAGAGGGAAACCCCATTAAAGCATTTCGGATGATCGAGGGAGTCGACGAGGTGAAGTATCACAGATTTTTCTGCCTCGATGGTACAAGCAGAACGAGACGAAAGCAACTGCGTAAACTCCAAAAGAAACTCCAGCCGTTGAAACGACTTGTATGGTGACGATATCGTGGCTGCCCCTTCCACGACGAGCTTTAAGATGGTCGGATGGACAAAACAGAAAGGAACTTTGTGCTTGTAGGCGACTAGGCAGTAGATGCGTATGCTAGCACAGAGTTTTCCTATATTCAATTGGGCGTTCGTTTTTAATTCGAGTTGGCTTCCCAGCTTGACACGAGGAGTCGTTTTGAATACATTTTCATATTCCTAAAACGGAATCTAGAACCTTGTGCGAAATTCGTATTGCAATTTGAAAACATTTTTCTTTGTAAAAGGAGAAGGAAAGTACAGGGCCTCTCACATTAGACCCTCCCGCATCTTCATCGTTGAAGGCTGACCTACGTCTTCGTGGCCGCTCGAGCGATGAATGGTGGAAACATTTAAGTCGTGACATAAATTAAGAAACATTTAAGATGGTCTTGGACTCTCATGGACTGAAGCGGGTTTTCTTGAAATAATACGATTTTCAGGGCAAGCTGAATCATTATAATCCAGCCTGAAAATGTTAATGAACTATCGTGGAAATGCGCTCCCCTTCAAGCAAAGAAATATTAAGTCATACCACAAATACGCGGTTTTGGGCTTCCTTCCAAACAAGCCTTACTTCTAAGTATGTGAAGGATTAGTTAGTGCTTGATGAGCGTCCAGAATCTCGAAGACGGAAAATTCAATTTCAAAATCAGGATGTCAATCCATTAAGATTTCGAATAAAAACCAAGTCCTTTGTCGGCACTCGAAGAGCAGGTGCTATTAATGAGGCCCAATGTTCGCCATTAGATGGCCATCCAGGAAGGTCGTTGGAACTCTCTACCATTGTCGTCCGACAAAGCCCCGGAGCTAACGGAAGGATAAATATTAAATGTTGATGTCGAGGGGCATTTCTTGACGAAATCTTTGTCGGGCAAGAAGGGAATAAGCAGGCATAGCCGGTCGAAATTTCCTATTTTCATTTCTCAAATTTGTCCCTCATTACCCTCTCGACAGAGAATCGTTTCAGCAAAACTACCAAATGTAATTTTTACTGCTTTCCATGCACCATTTCGCTTCGAAAAATGAAATTAGCTGTCGTTCATTGAGGCATGTCGTGCTGGTTCCAGTCCCGTCTCACATATTTGCCGGAAATCGTGATGGGGTTCCGTTTGATTCGTGACTGTTTCGGCTTTTGCTTCAGTGCCAGGATGTAAAGAAAAGTATTTTTCCATTTGTGTGCTAATTTCATGGCATGAGCTGAGACTGGAACGGTGAGTGGCCGTGAGCCGTTGGTGGGATATGGAAATGTGTACGGACTCCCCTGAATTAACAGGATGGGGTCCGTTATGAATTATGAATGGAATTATGAATTCCGGAGGCATTCTCTCCACAGATCATCTGCCAAGATGGTTCGAGAAACTCCTTAAAAAAATAAAAGATCGGCCTGACGAAGCACGTTCTCACTGAGATGGGTTTACTCATCCTAAGGGAGATGCTTAAAAAAACCCCGAGTCTTCTAGATCCAATTGTCCCGGAGAGTCGAGGGTTGAAATTTGTTTAAGGAGAAAAGGTCGACCTGGACCAAACCAGGAGACAATCTGTGGATTACAAACGTGATTCCTAACGACGACTAACGTGAGTCCTGTCGAGGAGGGGGGGTGGTGGTTTCAAGAAAGGAGAAATCCGTTTAAATGTTGCAATAATAATTTCCATAGTCATTCTCATAGCAATTTCCCCTTCCGACGACTGTCGGTGTCCTACAAACGAATCGGTCTTGTCAATGAGACTTGAACCACAGCAGTCGCTCACCTCACTAAGCTTGAAGCATTTTCGACTGATTTTAAGAAGGAATGTCGAAAATAGCGTCTGAAAAGCGCACTTAGTCAACAACTCAATTCATCTCGCCAAGCGGTTCACAAAGAAGAGAAGTGCGTTCTCACTCACGCTGGTCGCGATTCCCGTTCTCTTTGCGGGTTTTAAAATTCATCCGGAATACTCATCGAACCGCTCGGCCGATTTGGACAAATTGAATATCTTTTGGGTTTGGTTATGATTTGGGTGGCTTGTAGATTTATTTCATTGAATTCATTATCATTTACATACGCAATGCATGGATTAATGCTTCGCACGAATTAATAGCAAGCATGCGATTGGGGCAATTAGGGAAGTTGAACCCGAACAGCCGCCAAGGACTCTCCATTGCAATACATCCGTCAGCTTCTACGAAACTGAACGCGAATAATATCGTACGAATGGAATTCTCGGAAATTTTCTCGTCGTAACGGTGCATCTTTTGCGGGTGCCAAATACTGACTCACTATCGGTGGAAATGGAAAGATATTTCTGGTGAAAGATAAGCGCGTCTGGGTAGCGATGGACTTACCCTCATAGATATTATTTATTTGGCTTCATTGACTCGATCTTGAACGGAACGGAACTGAAACGTTTCAGAAACGTACTTAGAATTTAAATGTTCGGAAATGAAAGGTACTTCTGAGTCCTTGAATTATCTACGACACGTGCATTTTTCCACTCTTCTTATCGCGAGGGGGAGCGTTTTCCAGAAGGGATACGTAAGATAAAACAACTGATAATATCTCCGCAAACTCGGCAAGCCACTTCGGCATTCACAAAGGCTGAGCCCATAACTCGACTGTCTGAGGGTTGTTCACTTTTGCTCTAAATTCCACGCGGGAACGATGAATCGAAACCGATGCCCTTCGCATTATTCCATCGCCGACACTTCGCAAGAAGTGATTGCCCCACTCGGAAGAAAACGGAGAGGAATATCTAAAATGGACTGAACCCCGCCCCGGGCGGAGTTGATAATGATGATAATAATAATAATATGAAAATAATAATAATATAATAACAATAATAATAATGAGTTAATAAGCAGGTCGTGTCCGACCTGCTTTAAACTCGTCCACCCACTTGTACGCAGCTGCTTTGTTCATAGTGTTCGCCGTATTGTGCCACCACTCTTGCATGAATCTCGCTTGGTTTCATGCCTTCTCACTGCAGAAATGTGAAAGCGGATCTCTGCTCCTCCATTGTGCATGCTGACAAGGTCGCCGCCACCTTCACTACGACGAACAGTCGTGCCAGGTTCATGCGGGGCCGCCTTCACTGTCCACTGGAGCGTGCATGCCGTAACGTTGGAGCGATTGTGGGGTTCGCTGTCCACATATTTTCGTTTTCTCAGCTTAATTTTACTTATGGAGTGGTCCTCGTATTGGGCGTTACGTCTAATCGCTCCATACCAGTGCAAGGTGCAGAGTGGCATGTTCATCATTCGTGAATACAGCTGCATACAACACGTGAAGTAGCAGTTTAGGGAAACCCATAATAAAGCTGTTACTTTCCGAATTGGAGATCGGATTTATTGAAAGAACAGCAATCCCATGAATTGACTTCTCTAGAACTGTCATAAAGGGACAGAGCTATCGCTTCATAGACTCCATTTCATAATTTATATTTAAAAAAACGCAAATAGTACGATGAAAAAGAATAGGAAGATGAAAAAGATCTCCCCAATTTTGAATGATCGCGAGATTATGAAGGAATATCACTTTTATTCAGCGTCTCCAGAGGTGTCAACGTGCATGCGCAGAAAATTTTTCCATTCCGATTTACAATTCGAATTTTGGGCCTGGTTCATGTCACAAGAACTTGGAGATCGTTTTACGTGAAATTCTTTTAAGCTCAAGTGACAATGGATGCACTTGACACATTCGGTCCAGGTGTCTCATACAAACCCGACGATGAATTGCGGATCAGCTACTCGTTGGAAATTAATGTTACATGCACAATCGTGTTCAGAAATGTTCAGTTTCAAAAAGTTGAATGATGTCACGCGTCATATTGGAGATGTCCGATTGCGGGACTGAATGCACGAAGAGCGACGATATATGGGATGTGATTGGACTATATCCCTTTCACTATAAAGCAAGCATCGACTATATCCACATCCGCCCTGCTGCACGAAGTGCATTGAGGATCGCATAGTTCCAGGCAGCTTCCAGTATGATCCACGTAGCCCAAATAGGGAGGTGGTCGAGCTCCTCAATTAACGTTCCTGATGCTCTTCACGTTTCCTTTCACGCCAATGCTAGTCTTCCAAATTCCCGGCGAAATTCCGGCTGCTCCTGCTTGATTCACCTGTTCTCGACTCTTCATTGAGTTTCCTCTGAAGGGCCAGCTGCTCATCTTTGATCTTCCTTTGAAGTTCCGACTCCTCTTTCATTTCCCTCTGAAGCTCCCATTGCTCTTCTTCGATTCTCCTCCGATGATCTCGCTGAACCTGGATTTCCCTCAGAAGCTTCCGCTGCTCGTCTTTCACTTTCCTTTGATGCGTCAACTCGTCTTCGATTTCGCTTTGAAGTCCCTGCTGCTCTTCAATTTTCCCTTGAAGTCCCATCTGCTCTTCCTTGATTTTCCTTTGACAATCTGTGAGCTCCTTGATTTTGCTCTGAAGCCCCAACTGTTTCTCTTCCATTTTCTTCAAATGTTCCGACAGCTCTTCGACTTTCCGTGTCAGTTCTGACTGCTGATTTCCATATCTTTGATTTTCTCCAAGTTCCCGCTGAATTTCCTCGGTATTCTTCTGGCGTTCCGACAGATCTTCCATTTTCCTTTGAAGTTTCGACTGCTCCTCTTTAACTTTCCTTTGGAGCTTCTGCTGTTCTTCCTTGATTTCCCTTTGGAGCTTAAACTGCTCCGCAATGGTTTTCCTCTCATACTCTCGTATCCATTTCTCATCAGGTTGTTTTTGCACCTGTTCAGGCTTCAACTGGAGTTTTGCTTGAGCTTTTTCGATGCTATACACAGGCATGACGCTGAAGCTCGTGATGGAGATCCGAAGTCACTCAGCGTCACAATGACGATTCGCAAAATTGTGTGGGCTTTGCATGCACGAACATTCGTGAAATTTCCAGATTTTTTATTTGCGCTCTCCAAGGTTCTCCACAGGTTTGATCGATTTGAGATACGACTTTATGGATACGAATATTGAGTTATGAAAGAAGAGAGGTCCAACTCAATGATGAGATGAGAATGGGTTTCCCACCCGAGCACAACCCCAATTGTAGCAAAACCAGTGAGATACCTTTATGAACTGAAGTTGTCCACCTTCTGTCTCTGACGGCACTGAAAACTCACAGGAATCATTTCCAACCAGATACAGCAGCTGCGAACTCTCCAGGCACTTCAAGAGCGACTGAACTCTGAATCCACATGGAGAAAGTAATGTTTATCTACAAACGCACTTGCTTATCTGTTTTCCCGGGCGTCAGTGGCGCAATGTATTTACAGGGAAATTTCTCAGGCGGAAATCTGGCTTATGATCCAGGAAAAGTGTCTATTGGAATACGTAAGAATATCGATTCGTAAGCTTGGACATCATAACGAGGCTTCTTGGCATAATACTCAAGATTACCCCTTGCAGGGCTTTAGTCCCAAAGAGTGACTTTCTCAGTTCGACCAGAATTCGGATAAATGCATTCCTTTCGGACATTTTCTTAAATTTAAGTGACCAACACAGGTATACACAAAAATATTATTTCTTGGAACAATTATGACAAATTCCTATGCAGTTGCTGCGAGACACGAACTAGAAATAGCCAAAAGTGAAAATGAAGAGTCTTGCGCTAAGGGAAAGCCCCCGGTGAATAACTGACAGGTAGTGCGAGAAGGAGTGGTAAATAAAGTCATCAATTATGAATGCCAACTCCAGCAAAATTTTGCAAAGTGCTGCTTGGTGTTCCCTCAACACAGTGCAGGTAGGTAGCAGTGATGGTAGCAGACTGTATTCTGCTGCCATCTCTGCGAAAATGGAGAAGTAGGTACGGTATCAACGTCAACACACCAAATGGGGTGAACGGCAGTTCACGCCGTATGGCGTGAACGGCCGTCAAAGGGTTAAGGTTCTTGTCTGAAAGAAGCATGTTACGTGGAGCGAACCCTCCAATCATGGCGAATGTGTTTGTCACTGCACTCCACTACACATCCTTCAAGTGTTAGCGCGCAACATACGCGACTGCAAGCGCGGGAAATGAATCAGCATAATGTTGGGGAGTCCCAGTCTCAGAAACATCAACGGCTAGCGTCGTACATCGGCTTAGACGAACGGAGGAACGCAGGGAACATGCTACACAGAGCACAGTTGCGATCCGCAAAAATCACTTCTTTTTTTTTACGACAATCTTCAATGACATATAACTTTTCACATTTTGGAATCTACCAATGCGATTGCTATACGATACAGTCTTTGAAGAACTCTCGCGCTCATCGGATTCCTTGCGTTGCTCATGAACGCTTTGAAAGGACTGAAGGGGATGTAAGCAGTGACGAAAAGGCAGGTAATTCTGCAATTCTGAAATTTTGCATGACCCAAAAAAGACCTACATTAGGTCTAACGTTAGAGTTTCTTTGCTAAATGGGCCATGAGAGACTGAATAGGCTTACGATCGGTCTAACGTTACAAGTCCTCAACGAGGTGTCTGGAAGACCAGGGATTAATCCTTATAGGCCTAATTGGTCCGAAGGTCGAGGATTGAGTTTTTTTGAAAATAAATAAGGGAAGAAAGTCTGTCGGTTAGGCCTAGTGTAGCGCTCCTTTCCCTCCTTATGGTGTTCCTAATCAAAATATAATTGCAGGAGCGCTGGTGGGAGCTGAGAGGGTGTAGGCTCGGATCCCTGGAGTATCTGGCAGGTAGAGTGTCTAAGGTACACGGCCTGGGGTTCCTATGGAACACTTCACTCAAGGATCATAGGCCCTTTGCAAACAGCTCAAATAAATACAGATAAAAATGCCCATAAATAACTTTAAATTTACTCTTGCAAGATGCATAAAAATTAGATTCTTTGAAAATATTGTAACGGCCCAGCCGGCACGACACCCAGTGAGTGGCCTAGCAGGACTGCCGGTATGCGAGGGAAGAACTCTCTACGAGTCGCCCAGGAAGACCACAGTGTGTGCATGACCTCCTAGGTGTCACGCCTGACCTCTGACCCTTAACCCCAATCGAGAGATCTGTTTTAATAACCTTCTTTATGTCTTTGGCTCTCAGCCACCCCTCTTTTCATTTCCGACTGACGCTTACAGACTAGAGGCATAGTTATACTCCCATTGTAATACAATAATTCGGCATCTGAGCGCCAAGGAATGATGGCATGTACTACAAGACCGCACGCGCCTGAGGAGTGAGGTTCTCCCCCTTTTTTCAAAGAATAGAAGAGAGAGCAGAGAGCTGATTACAGCTTTTGTATCTCGTATTCTTTTCGCTTAACGTCCACGGGCGGTAAGCAGCAGCACCCTTTACCCTGCGGGATTAGACATTTCTGCCGTCCTGAACCTTCTTCCCCCTCGGGATTAGACATTCCCGATCCCCTGAACCTTCTTATCCCTCGGGATTAGACATTCCCGATCCCCTGAACCTTCTAATCCCTTGGGAGTAGGCGTCCCCGATCCATTTCGTAATATCTCAGGATCTCCCATTTTCCAAGAAAACCTGCTTTGTATCAGCCCTGACCTATTGTGTTGTGATTCCCACCACCGGTAGAAGAGAACGCACGGAACCGTAAAAATATATGATTCATTATTAAATATAAGAAATGAGGAGGACTCCCAATTACCGAGGGTCATAGTGGAGGTTCAGCAAAGCCGGTCGGGAGCAAACACTCCGCCCTTATCGGTCAAGATATCGTCCATGGAAGGTCAACCTGGCAACCCGATACAGCCTCGTTAGTTTTCGTCAGATAACGGATATGAGGGCAAAGAATCACGGCGTAGCGATCGTCCGGGGTTTATCAAACATTTACACGGCCTCGATGATATTGATCGCCCATTGTGATTCAAGGAGCAGGTAGTTGCAGACACAAACAGCCTGTGGTATTTGGAGAAAAATCGTTGCCCACCCAATTGTTGCAAGATTTTCTGGGAATTATGGTTTGAATTATTAGGTCTCTTACGCCAGGAATGTCGTGAGGTTCGTTAGGATTACATGAACTCAGTTTACCGGGCCAGGGAGTTCAAAATGCGACGGATTCGTTCCTTTCTTTCTGATAAAGCCATCAACGTCTGAGATAATCATTGAGCACTAAAAACTCACGACTCTACATATGAAACGTGAAAGAACGCTGTGTGGGTCAAATGCATATCCCAGAAGAAATCATGGCAGAGAGGGGTGCGGATATGCGGAAACCAGTCCCCTCTGCATGCACATTTCGTTGCCGTTGGCTCTTGCGTGATTTTTCTCACCAGAAAGAACCATTCTCCTATTACATGGCGGGTTTTGGCGTCCAAATGCTCTATAAGGAACAGTGCAAGTGCAACGAGTACTAAAGGATTGAAAGTGGCGAGAGGAGGGGAAACCCGCCTTAAGCTATGGGTTTGCCATGGCTTGGCAATTGGCGGGCCCATAGACCATGCTTAGTCCATAGGAAATTTGATATGTTGGGCCACCTGCCTACTCGACGGGGAAGGAGTCCAGTCCCTCTATCAGAAGAATACCTCCAAAAATATTGATATTTGACCTCTACTATCTGAAAGGGGAAAATCATTCAAAAAGCGAACTTCACCAGCGAACTCAAGGGTCTTCTTGACCCCTAAAAGCACGTAAAAGTTTTTAAATCTGAAAAATGGCATAGGTGACCCAAGGCCTTTGTGACCCTTTGCTAGCAGGGTCACCAAACTCCTTCCTCCCGATGCCCCACCCCAAGGAAGCATAAGGTCCAAGTCTCAGGGTCAAGGGTCATACCGTCGAGGAGGGGAAGCGGCCTCATTAAGACATTTATGGTCATTAGTAATGTAGATGGTCCCATATCCATGAGTGAGTCATTATTCCAATTCCACCGCCTGTTAGAAGGAAAAGGATTTTCATGACAGGTATGATTCCATGAGGGATCGTTGGATATCACCCCAGTCCAAAGAAAACAACGCTCTCACTTAAATAGTGCATATTTATTTCCTTCACTCCATGAAAATTGTTTGAAATGCGATTGGAATTGACTTGGGTGGGTGGTATAGTAACACAACACAAACCAGCTCGTACATATGGGAACATGGTCACATCGATTCAGCAATTGGAAAGAAAGAGTGCTTGAATATGCGTGTTCTCATGGTTTCCGCTAATAACGAAAATGAAAGGCAGGTATATCCGAAAAACGTTTTGGGACAGAAGAAGATTCATTAAAACGTCGCTTTCAGGCATAAAAACACCAAGCGTGATTACCTCAACAGTGGAGGAAAGGTGGCGGTAGGAACAACATCATTCATTGAGCACTCATCAGGCTTTTATCCTCGATCATCTCGGGATTCAGAGAAATTTGAATGGTGTAAAGACTGCATTGAGAAAGATAACTGAATCTTCCTTATCTGGTCGCACGGGACGATAGGAATTTCTCCTGGTGCATGGATACGGAGTAAAAACAATCATAAGTATCATCATAAGTAAGATAAGTAAGACTTTTCATGAATATACATGTCTTAAACAAGTCATGACAAATTGAAACGAATGAAAACAATTAAAATCTTGTAAAACTTTCCATCTTGACTCGCCAATCGCAGAAATGGATCCCCTTATTCAGAAAAATTACACGAAATAATTAATAAATGCCATGTTTCAAACGAAACGAAGAAAATTACAAGAGAAGAATGCTGTGAGATCATGGAATCCTCTTTTCACACAGGTAAGGGAGGTAGAATTCTCCCCACCCGTCATTCCACAATCCGTTCCACCACACGCCGGCCGCGACGTCCGCGATGTTCACCATCTCGACGACCAGGAAATGGTTGTCCGCCAGGTTGTTCGGATTCTTTGGACCCCAGAACGTTTGGTTCATCGGTGTGCCTGAGAGTGGGAAGCGCACGTGAGAATGCGATGGCTCTTTATCTCACGGTGCCGGGCTTGCAAGTACTTTTCAGCGGGGACAGTACCCGACTGATGAGACTTTTAACAGACGATCTGATTTTTCGAGGAGCAGCAGATAGATATTTCCCATTGATATCGAATATGTTGGATTTTTTTTTACAGGTATATAACGTTTTTTCCTATTGTTTCGACGTGAAGCCCGAGAATGATTTATCCGTGAAACGTCCATTGCATATCGTCCATGCAAGGGGATATGTAATTCCTCTAAAAGGGAGGGGTGTATAATACAATATATTTCAGCAAAGAATTGTTGATTCAATGAATATCAGATAATATCAAGGGCTTCTTGCAGATTAGGCAAATTTTCAAGGCACATGTAGTACAGTAGCTAACCTGGTCTTGTGCATCCACACTCATGAAATCAAATTTATCTTTAATAATAACATCAATATATATATTTTTCAGTATCGCTTCCTGCGATAATTTCCTTTTAATGGCCGTCATTTCCAAAATTGCAAATGGACTCACTTCCAAAATACTCCGGAAGCAGCCGTCGGACGTTACTTTCCCATAATCTTCGATTTCGGGCTTTTTATTGCCAAGACAAAGCACATTTGCCGTTTAAGAGGTTATTTAGGCATTGCTAGGGGCTTGGTACCAATGTTCAAAGTGGAATGCCAATTGAGCCACCGGAGCTGACTCAACACCTATATCGCACCTAAATAACCATGATCGCCATTGAGGTCATTATTAGATTAAGCATATTGTGTACGATTGTAAATAGGATACGTGAAAGTGGGGGAATAAAAGGTTCAAGCACGATTTTAAGCCCTGGAGTTGAACCTCCGGAAAAAGGATTCCCCTTTCTTTTAAGATTCATCCTAATCACTACTAAACAATGCAAGGATTTTGAGAAAAGAAATGATGACGTGGACTGAAGACTAACCATCCAACCATGTAAACTTGCTCGAGACTCCACCGGGAGAAGTCAGCCCCAGCCAGAAACGCGTGTAGCTCGGGCCGAAGTGAGAGGCGGCGTAGTCGAGGAGGAACTGGTGCCAGGCGCTTCCTCGGTTGTCCATGGCAGGGAGGCCCCCATCCGCCTTGCAGTCTGTCAGCGCGTTAGCGTAGTATTTCGTTTGGTTGAAGGCCTTCAGGAAGTGGAGCTTCCCTGTGGCCATGGCGTACTCGTAACCTCCGGTGACATCTGGGGTCCAGAATTTAGTCATGCGGACCAATTCAACATTACTGCGAAAAAAAAAACTATGGAAAACCTAAGAGATGTTTAAGTCAGATAGTTCTCATCAGAGAATTTTAGGAATTTAATAGATCCTATAAGATTTCCTATGGGAATTGGGATTGCTAAAGGAATCCCACATGATTTTAATATATAAAACATAATCATTTCACAATGGACGCTTCGTCGTTTGGTAAAAAGACATGAAACTATCACCCTTTTTTTCGACGAACTCAGAGACGCATCGAGTCTGGCATTGAACTGGGAGCAAATATTTTATTTCGCGAAAATTAATCATATCGGATTTGATCCGTGCAAGGCGACATTTCATGGAAGGGATGATGGGGTTTTCTCGATTATGGTTTCGATTAGTTCCGCCAACGAGTATCAACGAGTACCAAAGAGCAACCGTACTCAACGGGAAAAAGCAGGTAATGTATGAAATTCACTTGTACCTCCAGTGTGTTTTGCGATTTTGTAATACGGATTTCATCGACATATTCTCGAGATTCAAAATGCATTTTTGATTAAATGTTGAATACATATTAATGCCTCATTCTTGAAAGATCACTGCTTAAACGCTAAGGGGCATGGAACCGTTGTCTCTTTCATGTAATGCATTTGTAGAATTCTAAAGTCATTCCATCGGTGGAAGTGTCTTGAAAAGAAACTGGTTCATACAGAGGGAACGAAAAATCGGAGGAATAAACAAACAAGGGAAATGCAGATAAGATGCAGCCAGAAACACGAGGATCGGTGGTTTTAAAGACATGGACAAATGTTAATATCTACAATATTAATTTCGCAAAATATGGGCAAAAACTACAAGCGTGAGTTTAGACATTGACATTGACAAATATTAATGGAATAATATTTTTAAATGGCAATAATAATAATAATATCATTATTGTGAGATATTAATATACATTTAATGATAATATCAATACATACGACCAGAATTGAATATTTCAATGCATTTCGTTGGAGAGATGACACGCATTCGGTTCATTATATGATTGAGCGAGTTCCTACCGCTGTAGTAGACACCTGAAGCATGCCCGGTGACTGCTTCCAATTCGGAGGCTTTGCCTCCCAACTGGCAAACGCTCCTTCCGTTCAAGTCCTCCATCACGAAGGCCGTGCAGTTCTGGTTGCTGTGGGGATCCCAGATGGAAGCGAGTGGAAGCAATAGTACTCGGAAAGTGAAAATGATTTTCCTTTCGAAAATGGTTTTCTGAATTCTGAGAGAGAAAGAGAACCATCGAAATGGTGCGTTTCTGGCATGAGAAAAATTGATATCAGCTTTCGCCCGTGGTGCATCACGATCTAAGACGCATATGTATGTGTATGTATAGACTAGCGGTATACGGACGGGCCTTCGGCGTTCTATGTGCTCAAAAATAATTACGAATGAATTTAAAGCATCCAGCTGCGAAGCTCACACCTAACGATGCGGTCAAACCCCTTCATAAATGAGTTTGGCATTTCTTGCGCCTTCGGCTCTCGCATCTTATAAGATGTTGTTTTCAGAAGATACTCATCGCGATGTCACATGATTTCCAACTCCAGGATCACCAAGTAATTATTTAGTACGTCGTTCACTGTACCTAAATATAATTTAATTCCTGCATGTGGTACTCAACATTTTCTAGGCATATTCATCTTCAAAGACCTATAGTAGCAGACTCGTAAGGAATCGGGTCGGACAGATGAACTTGCACGCATGTCTTGAAGTAAGGGTTACAAAAGACTGCACGAGCGAGAAGGTGAATGGCAGAGAGGGAGAGAGCAGGTCAGTTCGAAAACAATGTAGAGTGAGTGTGTGTAGGGGTGTGTGTCGAAGTAGTAGTTGGGTCGAAAAGCATGTAGACGGAATACGGTGGTTGTCCCACCTCGAAGGGGGAGTTGGCGGATGTTGTTGAATGCGGTGTGTGTGAGCGGAGAGGAGAAACATCGGATCGAGAGTTGAGAGTGAGTGTATGATATCGTCTCACCCCCCGGTAATAACCATACGGGTCATTTTGAATCCCTTACTCAGTCACTCTTGTACGCAATAGAAGTCCAAATACGGTTTCAATATTCCATTTCTGATTCTTGTAAATATTGTTCTCATCCAATCCTGGTTGTCAGCGACTAACAGTAATTGTATGATAAAATCATTATATTACTACAAGAAGTCTAAGGAGTCACTCTAACTTCGAACACGCTGGCGTTCTAATAGTGATAAGGAATAATTTACGATCACGTCAGAGCCGCCTACACCGTGTTCTTCCACTAAGCATATTGCCTAGAAAGATATAGGCTTTTATGTCACGGACCTCAAGCTGATGTTTCATGATTCTCGGTCAGATAAGCCGATAAGTTCCTGGATGCGAATAGGTCAAGATTGTTGTAAGCCTGAGCGTCTGTCTGAGGGTTGGCTAAATCAGTCCCCTCAGGGCACGTATCTTCAAATTCCATAAGTTCTCGCGGTGAAGGGAACGAGCTCTTACCTCATGCAGAGGGCAGCGCATCGGACGAAAGATTCAATGGCAACCTCAGAGACTGGAGATTTGAAATGGGCATTCACGCCGGGCACTAAATGATAGACGGCCTCTTGGATCCCAACGGCCAATTCCAATTGGGTCCAAAAGGTGAGGAGTATGGCCCCACCCCGGATCACCTGAATGCCTTTCCTTACTTTTCTTTCCTTCCTTAATAAAGATTTTCCTTTAGATAAAGTGAAAGAATCTTACCGCAGGGTACATGAGAGAAGATGTGTGTGCTTGCAGAGAGAGACGCGCCACACAAAGCAGTCCTTCCTCTGCTGTGATTCGCATGCAAATCTATGTACGAAACAGGACCCGGGGAGAAGAGGGCGGTGCTGGGGCGGGCTACCTAGGCGACAGAAACAAAACATCCAAGAAACACCCTTCTCTCATTATATTTGGTCGTCCAATCACAGTCGGCCATTCTTATCTCGTCGCTGTTCACCATACTCGTTCGATGCAAAGGTGCTTCTTATCCATCCATCCATACTATACTAGAACACTAAGGCGTTTCGCAGCAAGTGTAGCCTTTGGCCCATACAGCTTTTTCCTTTCCACGACATAGTCTAGGTAGCCGATAGACCTGCGAGCCTTCACTATTCCATGTCATAGGCCATGCGCGTTTCGTGATTCGCCCTTGCAGCTGATAGGCCTTCAAGTCTGTACCTTTCCAGGTCCTTGGGGGGGGGGGGGGAAACAGATTGTCCCATTGCGTACAGGACAATTATCTCCGTAGATCCGCCGCTCTGACCTAAGCCTCAGTTACCTTAGCCTGAAGCTCGATGCTGATAAGGCTAGACTTTTTCGGTCATGGTCATCAAAATGACTCGCGAAAGAACCCAAAAACGGAGTTCTCCGTGAGCGGTACGCAAAGTGTTAAGAAAGTCGGATGCGATGCACCCGTAGAAGAGGAGCGGCGAGGCTGCGAAGGTCTGCACTGACAAGTGAGAAACTTGAAGACTTTGATGCTCTGAGGAGAGATGCACTAAATGTGGAGCAACATGAGGCTGTTAACGCTATGCGGAGAGCAGTGCGTGTACGCGTCGAACATATAACCCACACTCTCGCTGTGTTGACTGGGACGCCCAACGTCATTTCAGCCGTTCCGCACGGTCCCTATGGGCATGGAGTACTCCGTAGAGCACTGATTGGTTTTGATTCACTCCGCTTCGAAGTGAAGACTTCCGCAAGGCTGTTGTCACGATCATGTTACGATGTTCCATTCGATCCCATTGGAGTTTCGACCAGAGTTGAAACCGTTGTTGTATGGGGGGAAAGATGCAAACGCTCGCAATTTTTGCGAGTTGATGAGGCAGTGTAACTGCGCAAACTCGTTTGCTTCCTTTTGGTGGAACGATTGTTGACACTTCCGGAAACGGTCCTTACTGCTTCAAAGCATCAGACGAGGTCTATCATTTGACTACGACCAGTCTACATCCAATTAATAACGTCTTTCCTCCTCTAAATCAAAATCAATAATTAGGGTATACTCAACTCTTCGTTTACAAAGTGGTTCAAATACAGCAGCGCATGATAATTTTGAACGGGAAGTGCGTCGCTGCTTGTTATCGATGGAGCAAGTTGCACTGGCATACAATTCCTGTACACCGCACGGATTCACTTCATTCCAGCGACCGACTTCATCATTTGGGACGAAGCGCCGATGGCGCCCGCTGAAGTGCAGGGAACGATGGAACGCCCCTTCTGCGAGACTCGATAGACGATGACCGAGTCCGTGGATACTTAGTTGTGCTGAGTAGTGACATTCGCCGAGTGGTGACATTCGCCGAGTGTTGACATTCGCCGAGTGTTGCCAGTTGTCCGCAACGTATCTCGCGGTTGAATCATTGAGACTTGCGTAAAAATGAGCCCGTTTTGGTCATCGTTTCCAACGATTCGTTTGACAGGAAACATGCGTGCTGCTGCAAACGAAATTTGATTTATTCGATATTTGTTCGATTTGGGCAATGAAACATTTCCACGAATACAAGAGGCTATCCATCTGAGCTCTCGGTGCGTTTACCAGGCGATTGTACCTCCGATAAACTGGTGCAGGAGCTGTTTTATCAACGGCATAGGGTCTGCGATGCCGAAGTGAGAAACAAACGCGCTTATTCTGTATCCCAAGCGTGAGCATTCCAGTTAGGTCAATGAGGACGTGTCGTCCCAATTGGAAGGGGAATTGCGAACACATCACAGTATCGAAACTGTGAAGAACGATCATGGTGGTGATGACGTCGACTGGCAGGCCACCTTTTTCGTTTGAATTCTTCAGCAATCTCGATATTCTAGTTCTCTTTCCGCACGCCCTAAACTTAAACTTGGAGCTACCCTGATGCGTGTATGGAGTCTTTTGATTTGAAACGACCTTTGCAAGGACACGCCTATGATCGTGAGAGACCTGAAAACATCTTGTGTACCGCTCATGGAGATATCCGTTTTAGAGTCATTCCGCCTAGCCTATGGTCGAAAAAGTCATAGCTCTATAGGCATCGAGCTTTAGGCTAAGGTAACTGAGGCTTAGGCCGGAGCGGTGGATCGACGGGGTAAAATGTCCGGTACGCAATGTGTTGATACCAGGGGGATATAAATGAAAAGGGGACAATGGCTGTTACAAATAATCTAAGAGTAGCTTAGGGTAAGGGAATAAAGGCCCCATTTCATTTGAACACCCATAGAAGTTGAGGTGATCACGGGTGCACCTCTTGGCTGCGTTCACTATCTGCTTAGAGACTGGACACGTCCACCCAATTCAGCATACCGTTCCATCTTTACCAACGTCATTTCTCTATCGAGCTTACCTATGGTACGGCTATAACTAAGTCTCAGGGACAGACACGATATCAAGTCGGACTTACGAGCCAGTATCCATGCATGGCATTTGTACATTTCTTGCTCGCGAGTTCGCTCTTAGTATTCTCTGAAGATTAAGGTTATCGATGGACCGAAGCAGGGCGAAACTGATGCTGGCACCATTACCAACGATGTGGTCTTCAAAGAAGCACTTCTTTGTTTGTCAAGTCGTTCGTCGGGATTATATTTGTACGTTATGATGTAAACATAATGATGTAAACATAATGAGCTTTGCAAGCATTTTCAAGATTTACATACGAATACTAAAAATTCCTCTGAGAGCCCCAAAGGATCCCCTATATGGATTTTATGCTTCAAAGATCTCATATGATCCTATAGGCACCAAGAATAACATTCCCTCGAGACGGACGTTTTAAATGAGATCGTGATGTGAATTCACTTCAAGGTATGTGGACACCATTATTTCCATGAATTAACCGCAAGTATTATAAAATCTCGTTTCTCATCAGAAGGACGCTTAGGACTCCTTTCAGTGTCCCACGACAAATAAACGGGATTAATGAGATTACTGAATGAAAGTATTATTAAGTGCAATGCCCATTTTGATCCTGATTGTCATTCTGTGTTTCGGTTCTCAACTTCAGCTTGGTCGATAACTGGTTCGAAGAGCTGTTGAGTTCAGTTGAATCTTTCGATGACGATCAGTAAAACCTCTTTCGCTGATAATTGCTTGCGAATTTCTAGGTTATTAGAATCCATTTTAACGGTTACTAACAGAATGAAAGGACTGGGGTGCAGTACTCGAAAGGAAAAGGGTCCTCAAAACAAGGAATCTTCCAGAAGTAAATATCTCAAATGAAGCATGTGACAGCTTGCCTGTAATAGTAAATAACGTCTCCCCGAATGTATGAAGAGAAAAAATTTAATACACATGAATGGAGGAATCCATCAGAGATTAATGATGCAGTCGTTTCTTCCCGCGTGTGGAATCCGAGCCGCGCCCATTAAATTTTTCCCATGGTCGAGACCAGTCTCTAAAACATCAGCTCCAAATCATTCGGATGCGTTGGGCTTCCCGTAATCCACCCCGTAAATGAGATGCAACCGAGAAAGAATTGTTTTCTTTCTGCAGAGCAAAAGGAATTCATCAGACATTAACAGGAATGAGGGATGCTGCACCCGCAGTCCATGGGGTTCCTTGTTGGGAAACCTGTGGGTCGATTTTTCACTTCGGAAGCGGGAATCCAAGACTGAGCGCGCCGATGTCATTTGTCGAAGCTCATTTCCCCTTTCATTCAACGTGGCACTTCAGCACGTGAATGGACCATGGTGCCCATGGAACAAAAAAAAATTACTATATTCTACATGGGGTTGTAACTTAAAATCAGCATACTACGCGGAGCGCACCTTCTAGTCCTAGCGTAAGTGTTTCCCATTGGAATCTACAATACACCCTCTCATTGTTGGCGCGAAGACGATGGACTTCTTTGCGGAGCCCGTGTGAACACACGTGGCGACGAATTAACGTTTCGGTCGTATTTCATAATGGACATTTGAAATCCCTAGATTCCCGGCAGTAGGTGGGAGGCCTTAGAGTGAACGATGCCATCGTTCCCTTCCGTGTACCAGGGGTGTACCAGGGGTTCCGTGTACTCGTCTCCTCGTCCATCTGTAAGATGACGGGAGGAGCGAATCTGAAAGTTGCTTCCCCTCCTTTCGTGAGGCTGATTTTCATTTCGCACATACTCGGATTAAAAGGAAGATTTCGGCTGAAACTCTAAATTCTTATTACAAAGCAATTGGCCTGTGGAGCTGTCACATGCACAAAAAAAACCCACAATATTGTCGTTCGGCCTAGCTAGCGGTCAGGATCGCGCACGCCATGTTTAACTTCCGGACCTCGGTTGCTTCGCTACCAAGGTTCTCCGGATTGAATGTGTATGTGTCAGGGTTATTGAATTCATCACTGAAATGCATAATCAACTGCTGTGGTTTAAGAACCCTTCCAGATGAAACGCCCATATAGGGCGTTGACATTCACGGGGTCGACAGAGAAGGGACCTCCAAAACAAGGTTTCAGATAACATTTAACAAGAAATTTTCCAAATCATGAGGAATGACGCCTAAGGTTCATAATCTTATAGGGCATCAAAGGGCAAATAGAGAATAAAGTGCGATCGTGCTTAAAATTCGTTTCATTTTGTGAAAAGAATGGAGATGATGGGTGATGAACTGGAATCCCCCATCCCCATTCCCCATGCAGCCTTGAAAGTCATCCAGTTTCAGGTCAAAAAAAAAGTTCCGTGAGCACATTCACCGCGGAGGTGCGCGCAGTGTTCTCCTTTTAGCATCCACCAGGCAAGGCTATATCCACACTCCATAGGGATGCCTGGAAAGCGTCTGGAGGGAAGGAGCGTCGGGAGGCAGAGGAAGCGAGAGAAAAGGGATGTTGGAGGCAGCACTCAACTTCGTTCACTGGACAGTTCGATGAGCCCGTATCCCTCTGAGAGGATCTCCAACATGTGGCGGAAATCCTC